GAGGCGAATAAAGGAGATTCAGAAGAAGTGCAAAGAGAAAGAGCAAGCCCAAGAGCACAGCCAGGCCAAGCCTGTGAAAGCTCTGTGGAAATCCCGGAAATATGAAAACGTGGAGTCAAAGGTGAAGGCCAAACTGCAGGTCAGTACCCACTGAGCTCTTGAACTCTCCTGGCCTGTGATGTGGCTCAGCCACAAGGTTCTGTGGGATGGCAGAGATGGGGGAGTCGCAGAACCTATGGGTCTGGGGGCAACGTGGTGCTGAAGCGTGGTGGGCAGATGTGACAGTGGGGCTGTGTGCTGAGTGTGAACGTTTGCCTTCGGTCTGGAGAGCAATTCCTGTAATAATCCCCATTCTGTCTGACCAAGTAGAGTCCCCACGCAGGGGAAGCTGAGAAGAGGAAACTCATCACACCATCTGCCTGGGGGCTCCTACTTGTCCCTTTGGTTGTAAGGGATCTAAAGGTGGTTCCTGGGGAGTGCAGAGCAGCCCTCACAGGCCTGTTCGCTGTCTAGAGGTGCATCCAACTGTCTTTTCAGCTTCCCAGTGTTTGGGGCAATGCTTGCTGGGGTTTGTGCCAAAAGGCTGTGGTACACTGCCCCGTGGATCGTGGTCCTCAGAGGTAGGTCTTGAGGCTGCATCAAACCTCGATCCAACTCTTACCACGCTGTGGACCCACCATGGGCTGTACATCTCCAGATTCTTCTCCAGGCGATTGTCCTGGTGAATAACCACTGTGCAGTGGAGGCACACAGACATCTCCAGGCAGTTGGGCTGGAGGCCTCATACCTCCAGCGCAACCTGCAAGGGTGTATGTACCTCCTGTCCTCTGTACATGTGCTTGTGGGAGAAGGGGTGCAGGGCCATGGCTTGCATCCTTAGGCTTTTTCAACTGCTGAAATGTTCGTGGCCTCTATTCCAAGTGGGTGTCTGGCTTTGTGAAGGTTTTGGATTGCTTTTGGCTGCTTTCTTTTTCTTTCACTGGATAATTTTTTCTCCCTGGTAGGTTCCTGGTGCTTAAATGGTGCCTCTGTCAGAGAGCTTTGTAAAATGCACCAAAGTGGCTGCCTTGGTAGAAGTGTACCTGTTTGTACAAAAAAAAAAGTTATGGCCCACTGGAAGAGGAAGGGAGAGCTCCATCACTGTCTTTGGGTGGATCTGTTGTCCTCAGTCTGGATCTGGGAGATCTGTCTCATCCAGGTGACCTCTGTGTTCCGTTAGCCTCTTCTTTTGTCCAGAAATAGGCACTGTGGCTCCTATGGATGGGGTGGGCTCCCGCTGCATGGCAGCAAGCAGAGGGGTGTTGTGCCCACCCTTACCATAGTGGCTGGAAGGAGAAGCCTTGGGGCTCCCTTCCAGCTCAGCCATATATGGGAGAAGCCCCCTGAGGAGGGGGAAGTGCAGGGCTGCTGCCTTGGCCAGTGAGCTGCTGGCTGTCTGAACTGTTAGATCCTGCGTTCCCACTGGCCTCAGGATTGTCGGCTGCCAGGAGAGGTCTTTGTCCTTCTGCGAGTCCCTGGTAGCCTTCCCGGTCACCATCTCTGTTCTGTCTTTGCAGCCAACCAGACTGCGTGGACAGGAGCGACACAGCGAGCTGCTGCTTGTGCAGATGGTGGGTGCGAGCTGGGTGTCGCCTCGAGCACTGCCACGTACACAGCCCTTCCCTTGCTGCTCCTGTGCTGAGTTGGAGCCTTCAAGTTCCTCCTCATCTCTGCATTGCTTCCCTCTGGTCTGTGGCCCTTGGGCCAACTTCTGACACTAAAATTATATATGTGTGTAGATAACAACTGCAAAACAGCAAGATGATTTCCAAACCAGTAGTTCCAAATGCTGTGTACCTTCTTCCCGGTGTGTCACCAACCTCTGTGACGTCCATGACCCTTCCACACATGGGAGCAAACCCATGTGTGCTTTAGGAACACAAGCATACGCTCTTGTTTGACAAATCATCTCTGTTAGAGGAAGATTGAGATAGTTTCTTCTTTTGTTTTGGGGAAAGGGGATGGTCTCTGTGCAGTTTCTGCATGGTGCGTTACTTGTGCTCTGCGGGTTCCTCCAGAGAGAGGTGGTAGGGGGCCCTGGTGCTGACTCATGTTGCTTTAATACTTGCTGTGGCTCTCCTAGAGCTGGGGTGTTCTCTTCAAAGGATGCCCCATCTTCTGTGGAGCTGCTGCTCTGAGATTATGTTGATTCTGTCAGGTTTTGATGTCTCACACAGCGTTTCTTTTCTCTCATCTGTCCCTGACGCTGTTCATTGTAGCAGCTGCCTTGAAAAGGGCTCTGGCAGTCTCAGTGGAAACGGGCCACGCTGCGCTCTGCTAGCATGTTCCTAAGATCACGGGCTTATTTGACTTTGAACCAACCAACCAGCTAGGTAAAGGCACTTCTCATTAACTTACTGGAGAGATCTAGGTCTCCTGGCTCCTGTTGAAACAAGACTGATCATCTTTGGAGCATGATCAGTCTAGGCAGTGCTGAGGGCATCGCATACCCTGGTCCTTACACCAAAATTACTGATGTTACTGTCCTATCCTACCTTCAGTCTTCAGGTCTGCCAACCTAAATGGGCCAAGCAATGAGGAATCTGCCTCAAGGGGACTGCAGTTCAGCTGAGAGAGCAGCTGAGACCTTGAGTACCTCTAAAGATCTGGAGGCTGCCCTGTACAATTCCTCCCACTCCCAAGAGCACAGCAGTGCCCTCGTTGCATTTGTCATGAGGTCACCCGCTTGCCACAGCATCAACTTTCAGTTTTCAGGGTTTGTTTGCAACAAGACTGTCTGAGGTAGTCCCCAGACCGCCTGTTATACATCAAGTAGTGTCACCTTGTGCCACTGCTAACCACAGCCTTTGAAGATGCAATTCCACCCTCCCAAAACTCCCAGACGCCCTCACTCTCCACTCCTCTTTGTCTGGAGTAGCATAACCACAGATTTGGGTGCTGAGCAGAGCAGCACTTGAGAACAGCATCTCAGCAGTCAGCTTCGTGCCTACCCGTGCCATTTCCTTAAAGCTTGCCGTAGCAGGGCTCTGCAGCACGCTCTGGATTTACGGAGATGGGATGGCTTCTTCTGGGAGTTCCAAGTGCTCTCATGTGGCCCACAAGGGAGACTGGCCTGTGTCTCTTGACTTTCAGCATGCTCACTCCGTGCTGCCATTTGCCCTGTTCACAGGAAGATTTCTGCTTCTTAAGGAGTTACGATCACTGACAGTGTGGGCTGTCCATCCGTTTAGATTGTCCCTAGCTCTAGTAGCTGTCTCTTTTGAGCTATGTGGTGTTGCTCTCCTTTTGTGCCTACCAGATTAGTCAGTGAAGAAGGACTCTCCAGTCAATGCTACACATGCATTTGATCCAAATGCATGTTTCTGCAGATTTTTTCCCTTTTTTTTAACATTTCTTTACAAAGTTCAATTGTCAGGTCCGTATTTGTTCCTGTGGGCAGTCTGTTTGGCCTTTGCTGGCTGCATACAGATTGCCTGCCCCCAAGAACTTCT